AAATTAAGAACTACAATTGTTAGCTTAATTAAACAGTATCAGAAAGAATACTGCTAGAGACCAGTCCTGGGTAATAGGGAAGTACACCAATCCCTTTAGAGCAATCAAGCTTTTCCCACTTCAAGAGGAGAATTCTGAATATTAATTATGCCTTAAATAAAGTACTTACTCACTAATTAACAGGACTTAAATTCACTTTTTTCAGTGCATTGCTGACAGAGGGATATATTAAGGCACTTCCATCCTCTACAGCTACTGCTGCATTAATCATTTGTTCTCCTTTCACAGTCTCTCAGTCCCCATCTCAGCCCTTCTTAATCCCCATTCATATGTAACTTCCACGCCTAGCTCCACTGCCCAGCTCATTTCAAGCAAGGCCTTTTACTCTTCTCCCCCATCAGGGAAGAATTTTGCAGATGCTAACAGCAAATTCTCTGTGCTATCAAAGATTTCCTTCCCACGACATCACCACAGAAACACCCAATCCCCTGGAACAAGTCAGTGCTGAGCACTGATGACATGATCACGCTGACTAATATTATCCAGCTGCCTTTTGCCCAACATTCCTTCAACAGAACGATCCAGTCTGCACACAGCAGCTGTATCTAAGGAAGAAGTGAGTGTTCTCTGACTTATCCTCCTATATCCGACATACCCAATGCAACGGTGGCTAAATGCAATTTGATAGCCTCCTCTAAGGTAATCAAAACTTTTAATCAAATACATATCAAATGAGATGCACAAGAGTAATACGTGCAAGGGAAGAGCTCTGAAGATTCTATGAAGTTTTAATACATTAAAACCTTTTTCTAGGAAAGTTGACTAAACTTAGGCAGCATGACTAAATGTAAGCCAAAACCACCAAATATGACATTTTTTTTGCCCCAAATCCAAATACTATCCAAACTGTGGATCTGAAAACTGTAATTATCTCTTCAGTGCACATGTATTAAACATAAAAACTCATGACAGATCAAGAGCTGTTTGGATAGACAGCACATGCTCAATCTTGTCTCAGCAGTTATTTAAGAGAGTTTATACTGATAATGTTGCAGATCCTGGACACTTTGCCAGTGCAGGCGTAGCAGCTGACAGGATCTGAATCAATTGATGTACGTCTCCCAAAGTGAGGAAATATCAGACACCGATTGCAGATTTCAGCAGAGCAGCAATGACTTGCAGAAAGCATGGCAGGCACATGTACAGTTTCACAGTGGTTATCCTACTCTCAGAGAACATAAGCACTTCTGTCCACTGCACTGAGGCAAAGCTAACCAAAACATGCTACCCAGACGTGGATTCCATGGGACAGAGAAAAGGCGTTTCTCACAGTGGCTTGTGAGAACTTTTAGGGAGTTGGTGTAAGGATGTGATAACTTGTTAAGTATAAACAATCTGCAGGTGGTGTTTTTCTACTTCGTGTTTCTGTTCTTCTCAAGGATGATGGATGAGAAAGGTGTTTTTGTTAAGTAGTATGCATGGTATCACTCTATATAAACCGCAGGGTTCTCTTGAATAAAGCCTTCTTTTACTCTTTCTACAATACTGCCTCTCGCCTGTTCCTGTGTCACTCGGCACAAGAGTTGCTGAGGCAACTTTGTAAGAAATGTAATTCTTTACTTACTGACTTTGTGAGAGGTCTCCTTACTTGTACCAGAGAACCGCTCCTTTCAGGACAGCCTTATCTTTTGGTCTAGTCACCACACAGCAAAGTGAATTGTAGAAGAGAAAAAAAAGCCCCAATCAACCCAGCAGAACTCATGCATGCATGCACTGAAGTGGCTTTGGTTATGCAGAGGATTTGTTCCAGTTCCACACGTTTACACTGCTGCTTTTGCAATACCTGAGGTAATATAGGAATACCCTGAGGACCTTTTGATGTATATGATTACTTTTTTCCTCAGAACCAACCATTACTTAAATCTGTGATAACCCAGACAAATAAAAGATTTTCTGACTTGTCAGATATTTACACTCACTGTTTCTCAGCAAATACATATAATAGAATATTATAGTCTGATGATTACTGCAAAAAACAACCATTACAGCCTGAAAACCAGGGGAGATGTAATAATCTATTAAATTGAGCTAAGGGAGACATCTTCCACCAATCTCTACAAGAAACAGTGAAGAGAGTTTTTAAAAATCCATATTCTTCTATTACTTATACTGCCAACTATTTATTAAGATTCTGAAAGGTACGATGTTCACTTCTCTACTATTCATTCCTCTTTAGTAAGAATAGTTACTGTATGAAGTGAACCTTGTTTTGCACAACAAATGCTCTCCTGCTCTAGCAGCCCAACATGAACAGCTACTTACATCAAGCACACTAAACTTCCTAGAAGGCACTGAGGAAGTGCAGGAAACTCCTGCAAGGAAGAAAGCAGGACATCCTGGTGTACCACATGCCAACTTACCCAAATGAATACTGCAGTTAGCACTATTAAGGGGTTAGAGCCTCACCCCACTCTGTTAACAGATTAAACACAATGAATTAATCCCATAGGGATCATTTTCTTAACAGAAATATCACTTATATAGTGAAATGAAGATAAGAGTGCTTAAGAGATGTGGTTTTCTAGCAGACAGGTTGTAAGTGCCACCATGGGAAATGCAGACAGACCCAAGTGTTAATAAATGGCATTAGATCAACTTAGGAACAGTGAAAGTAAAGGCAAAATATTTATATAGTGTACAATACTGTGAGATCCATCTCCTCTTCAGTTTGCTAAATCTCATGTTCTCACTGTAAAGCCTACAGTGACTTCAAGAACTGCGAGGATCGAGGAGTAACAGACATACTAAATATCACTCTCAGCTTTCAAATAAAGCATCACCTCAAAGAGTAGTAAAAGGCTGGTAAAAAAACCCTAAAAATTAACATTTTCCTATCATCAGCTGTTTATGGATTCAACTAGAACACTTATACCGTACCAGACAAGACTGTTTTTATCAGCCCAAGGTATTATGACTGCTTAAAAATTATCAGCATTACATGGCTTGTCTCACAGAACTTAGCAAAGAAACAAAGACCAGCACATTTTGTAACTGTAAAACGCAAAGGACACTGATGCTCCTCTTCATCCAGTAAGGGCAGAGCCATAAAACACATAGCCACTGGCCAGGAGTGGTTTCAATGTGTCACAGTCAACTACTATTGCTCAACTAAAATTATACAAGTAAGTACTTGCTACACGCAGTCAAACTATTAGTAGCTAAGAGAATGAACAAAGAGTGTTTAGCAACAGCAGCAAAGAGCCAAGCATAAGAATTAAATTCCCACCCTCCAAGCGCAATTTAACTTTTTTGCCCAACCCCTCCAGCTAACACAGCTACATTAAAGGAAAGTGGAAGCTAATTCTTATGTACAGGCTTTTTCAGCAAAAGTATCAGAGCAGCAAGTTTCACCTGGCTGTAGCAATGCTCTGTCATCTGCCTAAAAGCATGTAGGGATTTTTAACTTTGTGGAATATGTTACTCTTATAACCCTTCTTAACTGCACAACCTCTGTAGTGTTATGGGACTTAAAAATCCAGCATTTTTTTAGCTTCCTTTAGTAAAGTTATCTGCACTAGAGAATGCAGGATAATCTGAGCTCAGCAACACTGTGACATATAGTCTATTAAATTTATCCCAACTACAATCGCATTAAAGCAGCATGGAACTACAAGGCAGCACTGAGGGACAGGGAAGGAAAACCCTGAGAGGTATTTTCTTATGCGAATCCAAGAGTCCCTGCACACAGCCCCACACCAGACCAAGTTTCTCAAGTAAAAGCAATGACAACAAAAAACCCGCATTCAATTAAAGCCGGAAGAGACCTGCCACGCTTCAGTTTAAAAGCTGGTATGTTTAAAAAAAAGGTATGACACTTATGTAAACCAGGAGCCCATGAAAAAGGAACAGCTGAATGCACAGAAATATTCTTTAAGAATTGTAAAGCATCTCCTGAGAATGGTACAGAACGCCGTGGTACAGCAGTTCCGCTCCAGTATGATGCACTCCCTATTGCTAGGATTCCTAAGTCGATGTTCTAGGACCTCATCCCGATGTGAAGCCTTCACAACACCCTCATCCACATTCAGCAGGACAGTTCATCCCCACCAGGTCACAGGACCTTAACAGGACCCAGATTAAAGCATTACAGACTGCAGTTTTTCATTAAAGCTTGTGCTTGCGCAGCCAAGAAAAAAATCCCCCAGCTATAAAGACCGCACATTAACAACGAACATTCTCAGCTAAGAAATAAACAACCGTAGGACGAAGCAAGCGAAGCTCCGCCAAAGGAGAGACCTGGTCCCGTTTCGCGGGGTGTGGAACGACCCAAAAATCCGTTCGAAACGAGCGGCCGCGCCCGCAGGACGGCAGCGGGCAGAGGCCCGCGAGCGGCGGCGGGACGGGCCCGTCCCTGGGCCCAACGGCTCCGCCGCTCCGGCACCGGCCCGCCGCCCCTGCCCGGGCTGCCCCGCCGGGCGCCGAGGCGGCTCCCCCGGAAACGGCGCTCGCATTATTGGCCGTGACAACGCCCGGCGGCCGCGCACCGCGGGAGCCTCGCCCCAGGGCAGCGCCGCGCTCCGACGGGAACACAGCCCGGCGCTCCGGCCGGCCGCCGCCTCCCGCACTCACCGAGCGTCGCCGCCGCCTCAGCCCCGGGCCCGAGCGCGCTCCCGGCAGCCCCCGCAGCGCAGCCCCGCTCCGCGCGCGCCCCCGCGGCTCCTGGCCAAATGACGCGAGAACTGCGCGCTGCCTTCGCCCCTCCGCACAGCGGTGCCCTCCCTCGCCCCACGTGACTCTCCCGGCCCTATCAGCAGCCCCTCCGAGCGCTCGCGCCTCCCGTGGAAACATCGCGATCGCACCCCACCCCCTGCAGGGCGGCCCCGGCGGCCCCGCGGGGGCGGCTGGGCGGGGCCGGGAGAAAGGCCGCGAGGCTTCTCCGCCGTTCTCCGGCGCCCGCAATGAAATCCCGCCCGAGATCTCGCGAGGTTTCGGCGCGCTCCCCCCCCGAGCACGATGCCGCGCAGGAATGTGAAAGGCGCGCGCCCGCCGCCATTTTCTCTCTTTCTTGGCAGACAGCGGCAGCGGCCGGAGCGGCGCCGCGGAGGCCATGGCCGACTATTCCACGGTGCCCCCTCCTGCCGCGGGCGCGCCCGGGGGAGGTGGCGGCGGGGCTGGAGGAGTGAACGATGCCTTTAAAGACGCGCTGCAGAGGGCTAGGCAGGTGCGTGCGGCTCCACGGAATCAATGGGGTCCCGGGGCCTGGAGGCCGCGCTCTGGAGCCGCGGGAACAGTGAGGGCGCTGCGCGCCTGGCCTCGGGGAGCGGGGCCGCTCCGCAGCGTCTGTGGGTATTGGGGGGAGCTTTGTCCCGTCCCCACGCCCCCTTTGCGCCACCCGCCCGCCCTGGGCCGCGAGGTACTTGTGGCCCCGCTCCGCCATTGCCCGCGCACAGCGCCGGGAGCGGCCCGAGGGGACTCGGCGGTGAGAGCAGCGGGCCCCGGCGGCGGGGAGGCGAAATCTCGGCGGGCGAGTAGCGGCGCGTTATCGGGCCGGGCCGGCGGAGGTTCGGCAGGGCGGCGGCCCCGCGGCGCGGGCCGTGTTGTGGCGCCCGCGGCGCCGCAGCCTGCTCGGACCGGTTGGGCGGCCGGCGGGGCGAGGGCGGCCCTTGCGGAAGCTCTTTATCCCGCAGCTTTATTTGCGGCTTCTGCACCACGGGCGATGTTTTCGTCGCTTCTCGGGCGAAATGTTCGCCTTGTCTGTTAATAAGCGGTCGCGGTTTTGGCGGTATTAGAAGACCTGGTGTGGTCGGGTTTTGAAATTGTTCGGCCGGAGAGGCCCTGCCGTGAGATACCGCAGTGTTTGGCGAAGAAGGCGTAGAGAAAGAAAATTCCCGTTTAGGAAAAAGGTTTTGATGTTTAAAGGCCGAGTTCTCGTTGGGATTTTTTTTGTAGGTGAGGAAAATTTAGGAGGCTCTGGTGCTGAAGTATGAGCAGAGGGCTTTAAAACATTAAAGAAAACCTCTATGAACAAAACTGGTTTTGGCCTTTTACTTGATTATTTGGGGTCATTTTAATGTGCATTGTTTAAATCCCTGAAATCTTTTAGAAGACGTGGAACGAACATGGGCCGAATTAATTTTTTTCCTTGGCTCACATCTGCCTTTTGTTTAGATTGCAGCGAAAATTGGAGGAGATGCTGGCACAGCAATGAATTCAAACGACTACGGTTACGGAGGGCAGAAAAGACCTCTTGAGGATGGAGGTATGCACTCATTCCTGCTGCATTTATTTTTGTGGAGCATGGCCACTGTGCTAGAAAGATTGCTAGTGGTGTTTTTGTTTGTGGATTCGGTTTTTTTTTTTCCCCATAGCAGAGCATTAAAACATTTTGTTCCCCTCATAGATCATGACATATTTTTTCATTTTCAGTTTAGTGGGAAAGTTTTAAATCATTGCGTTCTAACCTGAAGTGGATGTAAGCCTGTTTTACGGTATTTTAAATGTGGTTTAGGTGCTGCAAATAGAAAAATGCATGCTGGGGTAAGGGACAGAAATATTCGGGCTGCAAAATGCCTATTCAGGTGTCATTGAAGTCTCTTGTGGTTGCGTGGGATTGGTTACAACTCATAAATTGCAATTAGGGCAGGAAGTGCTCCTGAAGCTGGGTTGTTTCCTTACCTTTATTACTGCACTGTTTGAAATAAAAGTATTAATGCATTTCATTGTAAAAGCATAGGACTTTTAAAAGACACAGGGAAGTAAATTTTCTGCTTTGAAGATGTGTTTGTGTAGTGTAATAGTTCAGCCTGCAGCGTGTGTGAACCCTGATAAGATGATTCTTAAATCCTCTGACTTGTTGCAGCTTTTTGGATTTGCCTTACACTGCAGTAAAGTTTTCTCCTGAAACGTGTGTGTGTCCTCTTCTGTCTCTTGCAGAGCATCCACTTTGAACTTAACAGGGTTTGAGATGGTTAATATACACACCAAATCCTATTTAAATTACAGGAAGAAATCTTTGAGCTTGCTGGAATGTTCTCATAGGTTTCACAAAAGAGAAATGTCTTTTTTTTTCTTTAAGAGGATTGAAACTCAGTCTACAGAATGTAACTAAGGCTTTATATCAGGAGTTCTTGTGTCCTACAGTAAAGTTTTTTTTTTCTATTAAAGGTGAGGTTTTTAATATACAAAAATGAGCTAATGATGCTTCAGATGATATATGTAATGTATTCTTTTTATTTTATGTGTAGATGGCTCTTGGACAAGTCCGAGCAGTACAACACACTGGGAGGGAATGCCCTCTCCTTTTAAAGGCAGGAATTTTTATTTATTACCTGTGTTTAGTATGTAAACATGACATAAACTAGTGGATCTTTCTGGATTGACACAAATATTTCTTGGAATATGTGGCTGAGTTTTTGCTGCACATACATTATGGTGGTTCATATAGCCTTTATTTTGGGGTGGGAAGGAAGCATCTGAAGTATTATCTTTTTAGATGTAGGTTCATGATGCCTTTTATTTCTCTACTGTACAGAAAGGATTTGGACAGTAGTGATGTAGTTGCTGTGAATCTGCTGTTTACTTTTTTTTTGAAGTTTTATGCTATGAGGTTCTTGATATTTGGATAGGGATTTCATATCAACATTCAGATTGAGATTGCATTGCCATGGTATACTGTTGTATTTTCAGATGTTTGGTCTAGATTTGTGGTCATTGTCAGAATTATTTTTTGAGTTATTGTTGATTTTTGTATGGATTTGATTTTTTTTTCTTTTTTTACTATAGAAGCATCATTAGCTTGAGCAGCCAACAAAGCTGGACTTTGTTCCTTGTCTTAGTTGAGTTTCAGTGACTGGGTATCTGTGAGCTATCTACACACAGTGCGTTCTGAATGCTGCCTTTGATAAACTAATAGATACATGGAAAAACCTAACATCTTTTCAGCTATACTAACCAAGTGCTGAGTGTTCCTGAGATTCTTTCTTTTATTCAGATGATCAACTCCCTGAAATTGGAGAAGGAAAAAGAGAGGGGAAAAAAAGGGGGGGGGGCTAAAATACACTGGAAATTTACAATTCACACTAAAAGGCTTAAACACTTCCTGCATTTCTTGGCAAAAAAAATTTAAAAAATCTTAATTTTGCAGATCAACCAGATGCTAAGAAAGTTGCTCCCCAGAATGACTGTAAGTAATTTTTATTTTGTTGCCAAAAAAACCCTAAACAAGTGTAACATTGTCAGAACAACAGTTTGAAGGTGTTCTGGTAGGTGACACTTGAATAAGTGAGATCCAGAAAATGGCTGGGGCTTTGTCTTACACTGTTGAAGCAGCAGGAGTCTGCTTGCTCAAACTGACAGTGGTGGTAGCACAGTTGAGAGTCTCTATAGTTTTTAAACCTTTTGATAACACTTCTTAAAAGTAAACTTGGACAAAAGTTTGGTACAATTGAGTTTTGTTATCAAAGGAGAAGCTTAGTTGTAAGCTATACCACTTGTTTAAATTTAATTTTAACAATGTTTGTTTATAGCTTTTGGAAATCAGCTACCACCGATGCATCAGCAGCAAAGGTAAGAGTTTTGCACTACATCTTCCATAAGTTTTTTATTAAAACAAAGCAGTTTCAAGCAGTTTTTCTGAAAAATGGTGTTAACACATGAAGCATTTATTCTGTCTTTGTGTGATCTGTTGAAGTTTAGCTTTAGCAAGTCCCAAGTCCCAAGACACTTAAAATGTACCTACATTGCTCTCCCTTTCTTCCTCCACGGCCTAGGCTGTGGATTGAGCTTAATCAAAGGAAAATATATTGGCTGGTTTTTCTACTTCAGCATAGATAGCATGTCTAGAAGTTTGAAGCAGATCTGAAGAGAAAGGTGATGTCATCTTAACCAAAAACCAAAGCAGAATGACCTAAAACCAAATAAAATAACTCAGACTACAACTTCGTAGTTTTCTCCACTCATTTCTTACCTGAACAACTAGATCCAGCTATTATTCTTGTGCTTTAGACAATTCTGAGATACCAAAACTTGCAGCATCCTTTGATGATATACAGTGGAAACTTAAAATGCTACAGTAGCCTTCTCTGTACTGCACATCTGTTAATAAAGAGGGTGAAGGAAGACTACTCACCGATTTGCACAACACTTGAACCTTTTGTGTAGTTTCTGTGTGTTGTCAGCTTATGTAGAACTGTGCTTGTATAATGGCTTTTAATGGTAATGGGAGGCAAGTAAGCCAGGGTGGTGGTGGGGCAGCTTGCTTTAGTTTAATGGGAGGATATATGTAAATGCAATGCTCATTTGGTCTCTGCATGGTCATGTCTTTTGTTTAACATTGGCTGTAGGTCTGTGATGACAGAGGAATACAAAGTTCCAGATGGGATGGTTGGATTCAGTAAGTAGTACAGCTGTGCTCTTGTGGTATAGTGGGGGATGTTAGCAGATGCTCTTAGTACAAATAACCTTTCTGTGTTTTCTTTCTCCAAGTAATTGGCAGAGGTGGAGAGCAGATCTCACGCATACAGCAAGAGTCTGGCTGTAAAATACAGATTGCACCTGGTAACTATTTGTGGGAGGTTTAACATGTCTGTCTGGGGGAGTAGGGGTGTGATGGGTAGGAAGTCCAGAAGATTGCTCATTGCTTCTTGTTGCCTTAACCTTCATTTAAGATACGGGTTAATTCTTTTGTCCTAATCATGACTGTGATAGGCTAAAGAAATGCAAAATGGGATACAATGATTATTCTGCTTCATTGAATATGAAAAGCCAGTCGTTTGTATACTCTGGTTAATTTTATAATCTCTGATTTAACACTGCTGAGAAGTTGGTTTTATTTTATGACTGCAGATAGTGGAGGCCTGCCTGAAAGATCATGTATGCTGACTGGAACACCAGAGTCTGTTCAGTAAGTATTTTTAACTGATGTCAGGACTATAATCATGATTTTACTGTTATGGCAGCTGACCTGACATGTAGTGAATGCATACATGCTTTTGTCCACTGTTGTGGTGGTGGTTACAAGTACAAATGTCCTTACTTTGCCTGCTGAATCAAGCAGCAGCTTTTGTTCTGAATTAAGCTTTGATGAGTGTAACTGTATTCAGGGACCTTGAGGAGGTAACTTCATTAAATGTGATTGGTAAAGGACCACCTTTTAAATTCCAATATTGGAGTGGTTTTATTATTTTGCAGTTTGTTTTTTAAATTACTTTTGCAGATTGATTGAGATTGCTTCATCTTTCTTATTGATGATAGCCATAATTCTTTTGCAGGAACTATTAAAATTTTAGAAATTGCCAAGCAGAATAGGTGTGGACAAGGGATACTTGCAGGGATATGTATTTATGAATGTGTATTTTCTTTCACAGGTCAGCAAAAAGATTGCTTGATCAGATAGTTGAAAAGGGAAGACCTGCACCTGGATTTCATCATGGTGATGGACCTGGAAATGCAGTCCAAGAAATTATGATTCCAGCAAGTAAAGCAGGATTAGTTATTGGGAAAGGTGGAGAGACAATTAAACAATTACAGGTATATGTGCATCATCTTTTAAATATGATGATACTGAACCTGGATTTGAGTGAGTATTGACCTCCCTTTTGTCAAATAGGAGCGGGCAGGTGTCAAAATGGTCATGATTCAAGATGGTCCACAGAACACTGGTGCAGACAAGCCCCTTAGGATAACTGGAGACCCTTATAAAGTTCAGGTAAGAAGTGCCTCACACTTGAGAGCATTTTAAAGTCTCTTTGGATGTTGCAGTACCTGAACAAACTTTTTGTTCTTCTTTTAGCAAGCCAAGGAAATGGTGCTGGAGTTAATTCGCGATCAAGGTGGCTTTAGAGAGGTGCGCAACGAATATGGGTCAAGAATAGGAGGAAATGAAGGGATAGACGTAAGCATGGTTGAAAAACTTGTTCACTGTATTTTGAGATGTTAATTTTAAAATGTTAAGTCGTGTAATACCACTGAAAGCTTTTAACCAGATTTCAAAAGTTGTCTGTGGCATGTAAGTATTACTTGATCATTGCTGGATCATTTACAGCACTAAATGATGTGCAGTATTCACTTTACATTGCCAGCAGTTCTGAACAATTTCAAGTAGCTGGAGTTTTTTATCAAATAAGCAAGTAAATTTTATGGTCAAGTATATAATGTTACAGCATTATTGAAAATGGACTTTGGCCTTTACAGATCTTATGTAAGGCCAGCTGTTAATGCAAGTCACAAGCTAGTAACTTCATCAGGGAGAGGCTTAAAGCTTCATCTGCTAAAATCTGCATTTTACATACTCAATAAATTCTTTCCTCTTCTTTTTCTGAGAAGCATAAAATCCGCTGAATTGCTACCTCTATGAGAACTTCTAAAGCATGGGATTGCTTTCTTTTTAGTGGTTTAGTTCTGTATGTTCTGGGCTTGTGACTTGATAATAAAAAATCCATCCTTGAAAAAACCTGAAGTGACATTGGTCTTGCCCTAGTTTATGGTTCTAACCCTTTCATTATGTGGATTTTTTAGTAATATCTGTGTCATCAACATTTTGTTTGGGTTTTTTTTAGGTTCCAATACCACGATTTGCTGTAGGTATTGTAATTGGAAGAAATGGAGAGATGATTAAAAAGATTCAGAATGATGCTGGTGTTAGGATCCAGTTCAAGCCAGGTTTGTAACGTGTTAATAAGTTTTTGTGACTTCAGTGTGAATTTACTGAATTGCATGTACTGGAATAGTTCATTTTTATTCCAGATGATGGAACAACTCCAGATAGAATAGCCCAGATCACAGGGCCTCCTGACAGATGTCAGCATGCTGCAGAAATTATTACTGATCTCCTTCGCAGTGTTCAGGTTGGGTAACGTTGTTCAACGTTTAAAATGTCCCGTTCCCCTTTTGAAAAGACCCAAAGTGTTCAAAAAGTGTGTGTAACTAGAGAAAATAATTTAGTTGTGCCATTTGAATCTACTTCAAAGTTTGGTCTGGAATATGAATATTTACTTTTACAGTTAGTTTTACAAGTGACCATACTGATTCAAAGTCATGGCATTTCTTGATCTGGCTGGTTTTAGAGCTGCTGCTTCTGGTTTGTGTTAATAGATGATATGCTCTTACTCTTGGTTGTAATCAGTGTTTAAAAGCTTGTTGTTAGATGAGCCCCACTGCTGCATTTACAGAAGGCAGACAAAAATTGCATCTTTGTATGTGTGAAATTTCTGCTTGCTTCTGTATCTTTTCCTCCTTCATCTTTCACATGCAGAATGTACAGAACGTATCTTAGAATTTAAAATTTAGGTCCTCTATAAAAGGACTTTAACTACCAAAATTGTCTGAGTAGTGAATCAGTTTTATCTTAACAATGCTGTCATGTAGCTTGTTTGCATTATTTTTTTGTGGTAATTTTATAGAACATGCTCACTTGTTGCTGCTTCTTTTTAGGCTGGTAACCCTGGTGGACCAGGACCTGGTGGTCGAGGAAGGGGTAGAGGCCAAGGCAACTGGAACATGGGGCCTCCTGGTGGATTACAGGAGTTCAATTTTATTGTCCCTACTGGCAAAACTGGATTAATCATTGGAAAAGGCAATATATCTTATATATGTACCTTGTATGTTACTTTTAAAACCGCTCAGCTTCTCTGTTTGGCCAAATGCCATGCTACAGAGATGCGTGATGTGTATGATGCTAATGATGCTGAGGTTGGATGTTTCGTCCCTGTATGGACCTTTCACTTTAGAGTTGGACCCTATGATCCTTGTGGGTCCCTTCCAACTCAGAATATTTTGTGATTCTATGATTTTGTAGAAATTTTTAATTGCCCAGTTTCCCCTATTTTGAAGACTTCGTATATACTAATGGTACACATAACTTGTCTGGATCCTGTAAGAGGAGTCACTCACCTTGTCAGGCTCTGTGGGGCTTTTTTGTTTTTTTGGGCTTCCTTGACCCTTTTATAGGGAGGTTGGGTTATAAGTTTATATTTACTGATAACCATGTGTGTCAGTTGTTATTAATGTCTAATATTAGATGTTTACATAAATAAGAAATACTTACAAGATTGTAGGAATTCTTGCTGCTGTTTCTGAGTAACATTTTTATAATCTTTTAAAAGTATTTTACTTGTTTATTGCCATTAAACCTCTATCCTACACTGAGGAGATTTTGTTTGAATTGTTGGGATGCTCTTAAACAGCTCATAAGAATAGGTGCTTTTTCATGTGTTTTTGGCTTCCTTGCAGTTGACTTTCTCTGATGAGACTCAGTATTTTTTGCTTTGATGCACATTATAAAAACTCTGTATTGCATTGTAGGTGGTGAAACTATTAAAAGTATAAGTCAACAGTCTGGTGCTAGAATAGAACTTCAGAGAAATCCTCCACCTAATGCAGATCCAAACATGAAGATGTTTACTATCCGTGGAACACCCCAGCAAATAGATTATGCACGACAACTTATAGAAGAAAAGATTGGAGTGAGTGGATAACTAACTGCTTTTTTGTCTACTATTGGAGCTAAACAGAGCTGAAAGCAAGTCTCCTTTGTGGAGATTTCTCTTTCCTTTCACTTCCCCAATTAATTTAATCAGATAATAAATTGATAATAATGGCCATCTGGATTTAAAGTAATGTAACAAAATATTGAAATGGAAACAGTTTATCTCATCAACATCTTATGGTGTGCTCTTGAAAATGCCAGTTTTGTGTAGATGAAAAAATTGTTAAGTTCAAAGATGCCAGTGATACTAAATTGTGTGGTTTTGTTTTTCAGTCCCAGATGTTTGGGTAGAGTTCTAATCAAAGTTACACCTTCAGTTTAACAGTGGTTTTGTTTGCATGTGTGTGTATGTCATCAAATTTACTAAATTTCAGTCCCAGTATGTTTGGGTAGAGTTCTAATCAAAGTTACACCTTCAGTTTAACAGTGGTTTTGTTTGCATGTGTGTGCATGACATCAAATGTACTAGAGGCTTTTTGTGCCTGATCTTACAAGCAGGTTTAGTTAGTCAGATTTAGATGTATTGATTTATTTTAGAACTGATAGTCTTGTTAAAGTGTGGGGAGTTTAGTGCAACTTGTGGAAAAATCTGTGGGTTTGTAAAATCCTTCACTTCCTGAAGAAGGAACTTAAATAAATGCAGGTTTTTAGTTGCTATTACTGTCACAGCTGCTTTTAACTACCTCTAAGCCTAATCAAACTTTAAATAGCCTGTTTTCTGCAGGGAACTGCCTTCAAAACCAGTCAAACCTTTTAGATGTTCTTTGAGTGTTCAGATAAATGCTTTGAAAATGCTGAGAAAGGGAGGACCTCAAGGTGTATTTTCATCTCTGTCCTACTGTTGTTACAGGGTCCAGTGAACCCATTGGGTCCACCTGTTCCCCATGGTCCCCATGGTGTTGTTCCTGGCCCGCATGGACCTCCTGGGCCACCAGGTCCTGGTGCTCCTATGGGACCATATAATCCAGCTCCTTATAACCCAGGCCCTCCTGGTCCTGCACCTCAGTAAGTATTGCTTCAGCTGACTTCCTTCTGTGTGGGGTCACCCTGGGACTGCCTTTCACTGTGTGTGTATGATCTTTTATAGTGGTCCTCCAGCTCCATATGCTCCACAGGGATGGGGAAATGCTTATCCACACTGGCAGCCACCAAACCCACCAGACCCAGGTAAGAAATGCACACCTGTGCTGTAGTGTTGGAATATTTCAAGTACATCCATTCTGTCCTTACAAGTATATGCATTGTACAGTTATTTGTGTTACACTCCTGAAGCTGAAAAGCTCCTGTTTCTCTGGCTTTTTTTCACTGATTGTCAGTTTACTTATGTTTTGCACTTCCCATATGTGGCTTGTGAAATGTTGAAATTTAATTGTTACAGTTGGAGTATGTTTTTTTACAAATGTTGCTGATACCGCATCACTATTTTTGATACTTCTTGCAAGTCTTGGTTCACTGATTTTGTGCAATTCAGTTTTCTGAAAATCAATGTTTTTGCATAAAGTTCTATAATAAGGATGTCTTTTCTTTCTCTAATAGTAAGTGACTTCTGTATTTTATTTTAAACAGTCTTTACTGATTTGTCTTTTTGCACTTAATGCTATGATATTTCTAGGTTTTGTTCTACTACAATTTCTTTTAAGATTCTGATGCTCCAGTGTATTTTGTTGAGTTCCTTCTGAGGGCTGAAACCTTGGTGAATTGCTGTTAATGCAGTTAAACTAGTTAGGGTTGTGTATTTTGAACTTTTGCTTGTAATAGTTTTGTATTTTCTTCTGAAACCTATCTTTGTAGAATTTGCTTCTTCTATTTCTGTTTATCTTTGTCGAGATTGGGAGTTCTTACTTAATTACAACTTCCAAAGTTGTAGTATCCTGCTTTTCTTTAAGTTTACATCCTTTGGTTGGACTAGAGGATATGGGGAAATGGAACATCAGCCACAGAAGGCATGGTAAGGCTAGATGCTTGAGTTTGTTGTACCTCATTTGTTTGAGGTGGAGTTTCCTCACAATGTGAGCCAAAAGATCTCAATTATATTTTTGTTATCAATGACAGATATTTTATGATAGCCACTGTTCCTGAACTTGGTTCCATTAGTGGAGAAGGGGACTCCATGTATGTACCATGTTATGTCTTTGCAAAGAGCCATTGCTGGTTTTAGTTCCCAAACTTGTGCACAAGGTAGCTCTGCATGTACTCAGTTCAGTGTTTAAAATGCCTGCTGACTTCATTTAGAAGTAGAATGGCTCAAAGTGACTTAGTCTCAGCATTGCAAAAGTATTTAATGCAAAACCACTGCTAAAAAGTTACAGCCTGTTTCACACCACTTTTTTAAATTCTTCTGAAGTTACTTGTCTACATAAAGGCTGTGTAACAAAAAATGGCAAATGTTCCCTTGACGTCATCTTGATGATTCTGGAACTCATTTTTTGATAAATACTTCTCTTAAAAATCTACTGAAGTTCTCATATGTGCAGTTGAAGTTGGTGTTTCTTTTGACTAGCATTTCTTTGAATGATTTTTCTGCAGTTTTCACTTAGTTACTCATTCCAGTGTAACAAATGGGTTATTTTAGTACTTTTTTCAGAGGTGCTCTCTCCAGAACTGTGCTTGCCCTTGTCATGTGAAAGTGGAGCTGGTCACTACAGTCAAATTTCTTTGGAAGTTTAATGAATCCAGCTCTGTGTTCTTCTACTCTAGAGAAATAGCTAAGAAGGAGGGGGAGGAATTGAGCAATGGCTTATTTGATATTTGCAGGTAAACTTAGAATATAGGAAGTGTTAATTGAAATCCACTGTTGTTGATGGAAGCGGTGCAATTCAAACAGAAAGTAGTGTGTTAAGATTTTTTCTGTGTGTATTTGAAGTGGTTACATCTGACTTGTTACAGGATTTCATTTAACATTAATTTGTTTTTCTGGGTTTCTTCTTGAATGCCTTTTTCAGGGAAATTCTTCATCTTCCATTACTCAGTGCCTTACCTGTTCCATGTTTAGGGAGGATTGTATTTCCATTCCCATGTATAATTACTCTAAAGTATCAGTTTGTGTCCATGTCTTTCTGTGAAATTCTCTCCTCGCTTAGCTGAATTTCTTTGCAGATACTTTTATTCTTTAAGACTGCAAATACTGTTTGCAAATATATGCTGGTTGTGTAAAACATATTATGTTCTCCAATAGTAGATTTTTGGGTATTGTCAATTGCCAGTCTTGTAATGTAATCTAACTGTGATTCAGCAAGAATAAGCCATTCCTAAAGGCTAAATGTGAGAAACAGAGCTATAAACCCCTAGGAAGCAGCATCATTGGCCTACCTAGATGTAGGTAAAAATAAGGAATCATGGAGATAGATGCAGAAGATGCAACTGTTTCTGTTATTTTTATACTAAAAAGCTGTAAGTAAACAGTGATGCTTAATAGCCATGTATGTGGATTCAGGTTCTTAAAATGCTGTGTGTTTCTCTATTTTACTGTTACCTTAAAGTTTAAGTGACAAGCATTGCAAATACCTAGTAAGTCTTGTATTCTTCTGTTTCAGAAATATGTATTTGGCATGCCTCCTCCACCGGTGCCAGTGTCATTAGCGTGAGGTTCTAACAAAAGTAAAACCACTGAAATCGTTTGGTGCTAGAATGATTCATTGCTGCTGCCATTTATTGACATGACTGTTTAAATAAATTTAAAATCTGTTTCTGTTTACCACATGTAAGATTAATAAGTGGCATTGTAGTAGTAAAGGTTTTAAAATTATTTTATCTCACCAGCTCTATGAAAATACACTTTCTATTGTAAGTTGGTTTGAAACCTGATCAAAAGTTTATGCTAGAAAGAAAAAATACTTTAAAGATGTACATGGATATTTTGTTTAGATGGATTTTTCCTTGGAGGATAATAAGAATGCCTAGGATAGGATTAATTGAGGACATCATTCTGTTCATAGTAGTGCTATTATAAATGCTTATGTTCTGTTTTCATAGGTAAGCCAGGAACAGATCCCAATTCAGCTGCGTGGGCAGCTTATTATGCTCACTATTATCAGCAGCAAGCACAGCCACCACCTGCAGCCCCTCCTGGTGGACCAGCTACAACCCAAACCAATGGACAAGGTAGATACTGAGTGAAATGGACACATTTCTCATTGCTGGACATGTAAAGACCCCATTATTTTTTATTGTTGTCCTGCTATGTCAGGTAAATTTATTTTAAGTAGCTGGTTTTCTTGGAAAACTACTGCTTATAGCCTTCAGTATTGCTTTTCTTAATTTCAGCAGTAACAAGGGTAATCCATTTATCTTGGAATACACTCCAAAGAGTTTTGCTGCAATGTGGGCTGACTTAATGACTACATAGAGCAGTCATAAATAAAAATGTAATGAGCTAAACTGTTGATTGTCATTTGCTTAAATGGTTGCATCACTTCCAGTAGGTTTAGGTCAATTACAGTTGTGGTATTTAGTTGTGTTATTTTAATTTTTGTGCCTGGCTGAGGCTTACCACTTGAATTTTTGGTATTTTGTATTGCTTGTGGTATGCCCTTTGTTAATCTTGAAAACATGTCTTGTTTACTAGTAGTTTCTAATTGTAGTAGCTTGTACCACAAAGGTTTATAGTGTAAGATCTGAATCACATCATGTAGGACTGTTACTGAAAATTTCAGTTGATTATTTGAATTATGTGTGAAACAAACCCCTGTCATTTTAGTTTAACTATTTTTAATGTAATTCAGGAGATCAGCCAAATCCAGCACCAGCAGGGCAGGTTGACTATACCAAGGCCTGGGAGGAGTACTACAAAAAAATGGGTAAGTGTGCAGGGGTTTTTCTGGTTTTTTTTCTGTTCCACATTCACAGTGGAATGTTTTAGGAGACTTTTGTTTTGCTGGATGAGATGGGAGCTTTTACCCCCAAAAATTTGAAATGCAGAGTCATGTGTGTTCTGAACCAAAGCTGAGAAGCAGACTTTAAATTTTGTGTTGTTTTTACGCATTTCTTGGTACTTGGGCTAGGAATCAGCTTTATAAAAATATTTCAGACTTAATGAGATGTCTTTGATTGTTGGGAAACAACATCTTTTAATTTAAATGTTTCAGTCTGGGTATTTTGAAGTACATTTCCTAAGTTTTGAAGCTCACTTTGGTCTATTTTATGAAGCTGTTATTTTTCTTGTTTGATAGTTCTTTCCCAATTCTCTTCAGATTACATACAAATTTTTTTGTCTTGTGCTTTGCTTTCTGTGTTTCAGGTTACTATACTTAAGCATTGTAATTAGCTTTCATCTATAATAGTATTTGCTTTGCAGCACTAGAGCTGTATTTAAACTGCAGATTATATGTTGTTGGTAGCTTTCTTTATAAAAATGAAACGAATGTGCTGGGTTACTTGATTATTTCATTGTTTTGTGTATAAGAACAGAGTACGTGGTTTCTGTGCACTGGCAGAAGGTGTCATTACCTTTTAAATCATGGTCATCTTCTGCCCGTGGTGTCCTGCCATGGGGACTGTATACTGAACACCAGTGGCCTTAGGAATTCCAGTACTTTCCCAGGTATTTGTGACTAGACATACAGCAGCATCTGCTTTGGGATGCATCTTTGTTTGCAGGGCAGGGTTTGGTGGCTGTTCTGCCATCTTCCAACTGCACTCAATTTTCTCATGGAATATTAAAAGTAGTCAGATTTAAGATCAATAACATGCATAATTCCTCTTAGAAGCCTTCCGCTGTATTGATAGTTATTTGCCAAGACATAACTATCTTTGTTTTTTATTTTGGCACAGTATAAGTGATCAATTCTACAGAAAACATATAATGAGTATTTAGTTCAACAACTGTGTATCAGACTAAGAAAATTACAACTCCCAAACATGTGAATTCTAAGATGATAGACCTTCCCATTTTTCTTCTTCCTGATTCATTTAGCTATTTCTTTTCAATTTACTGTCTGTTAGTTTGGCTCATATTCTGAAAGGCAAACTTGTGGGTGGCTTTCACTTTTTTAAAAATAATGTAATTTGTTGGTAGGCACTTTGCCGTCTTTTTGATTTGCTGTCTTGGAAAGCAAAGTGGGTTTTACTAGTCTTGCACTTGCACAGATTAAATTACAGCAAGTTATGAGGTGTTGGGATCGATTTTATGGGAGCATTTCCAAAGAGCAGTGTGAGCCAAAAAACGCATTGGGAGATAAAAAATAGTTGCTCGTAAAATGTGAAAAATGCCAAGACAGTCAAATAAGAGGAAAAGCACATGGGCAGTTCTCATCTTAATTCCTTTTTCTAGTTTAGATTGAGTTCTTTGCCTGAAAGATAGCTCTTGATGGCTGGACCTATATAACTTACCTGTAAATCATGAGAACTTTTTGCTGCAGAATCTTGATGTGGTAGATACCATTTATTTCTAAAGCCTCTTAAAAAAAGAGGAATTCAGCTGAGTTGACATAATGCTAAATGGTGCTGGTTTTCCCCACATCATTAACTGCAGAAGATCGTAGAAGATGTGATGGAGAGGAAGGCTGTCCAACAGCAAATTCTTGTGGTCTCCAGGCTTTCCAGAACCATTTGTTCTTCCTATAGTACTGTTATCTTCTGTCCCCATTAACTTGTGCCAAAGGATGGGAATTACAAGTCACTTGCTCCTTGACAACTCAGGTTTTTCACAACACAGATGATTTCACCAAACATTGTTAGGGAGAGCTGGACTGAAATTCCAGCTCAGATTTGTTGAACCCAATCAGTTCTATTTTTGCTGCTGAAAAAAACTATTTTGATAGTCCTTGTGGGAAGCTGAACAAGGTGCCAGTGATACTGCAGGTGGTGTTTTGGATTTTCTCATACTTAGTTAAGTATGAGCAATCTGAAAATGCTAAAACACTCCAGAATATGCCCATCTAAACAATAATGGTGTTTTCAAAGTGGCTTCCTACTGATGTGATATGACTCTGCTAATCATAGAGAACACTTCACTGTGTTTTTCACTGAATGCTGACTTGAATATTAACGTGTTTTCTGAGTCAGAAATACAGTGGCAAAGCCAGTCTCCATTTTCAGACCCTTGTTTCAGGGGCTACTGCTTTGAGTAGCAAATACTCCAAAAAGTCTCGCATAGATAACATGAAGTCATGATCACTAGTAAATCTATGTGTCACTAGCAGAATTTTTAACTTCATCATTTAAAGTCATTCCCATATATTGTAGGGATGAAGAATTCAATAATAGGAGTGTTTTTAAAAGATTCCTTAGCACTGAGTGGAAAGAAGCAACAAAAAAGTTCACTTTTACTAGAATCACCCTTGATAATGTTGAACTGTAAAATTTGCTGGTGTTTCCTTTCTCAGCCCTGCTTAAAGGGGAGGTGTTCTGTGTTTCTCATGTTTCCTTTGTGTGGAGTTGATCAGCATTACCCATAAGTGTTACGGTTGAATTTGGATATTAATGAGCAGGTGCTGCTTGGTGCAGCTTCTGTCCTGAGGGGAAGCTTGGACTAAACTGCTGAATTCCATGTGTGGGCTCAGAACTACTTGCAGTACTTAGTAGGAAACTGTGCACCTAAAATACCCATCAGGACAGAAGTCCAGTTGACATCTTTGAATAGATGTTAAGTTTCTTTGATTTGTTATTTGAACTTCACTGCTGCCTTGACATAGTTGGCTGAATGTCCTAAGATTCTTGGATCATAATGCACAAAAAATCCCTTATCTTTGACAATCAGTTGTGCTGACAATGATTTGTAAGTACAGATATTATCTCAGAGTAATGATGAAGTTGGATAGTGTACCCTGGGATAATTTGTAACCATATTAAAGGTAGGTTTTGTTAAAATAATTGATCAGAGATGTAAATTGGAAGTTGCGGTACATTAACAGTTGTAAAATATGATAACAGCTCTAAAGATTTGAAGAAATAGAAGTGTTTTTAGAAATTCTATTACAGTATAAACCAAACTAAAAGATGGATAGCCTTTCAGAGCTTACCTACAGTGTAAGTATAAAAAACTTAAGTTGTAAGGAGAGTTGGAAAATGGAAGGTTGTATTTTGATGGTTTTCAGGATCATGCTTTGCCAAATAATCTCATTGTGTGCTCTCACACCTGATGTTTTTGAGAGGACTGGAAGACTACACAGGTGTAGGAGTAGTGTGAATAACTAGGATTCTTCATGTGAATTTTCTTTGTTTAGGTATTTAAAGAAAAACAACCAAACAAAGCCAGCCTTCTGTCTGATACTCTAGAAAACACTTCATTAGAATTTCTGATACTCATGTTCCTCAGAAAGTTGCTCAGTGGCCTTGTATTCAATTAAAAAGTGAGGTGCTTTAAGTTAGGATGAAAAACTTTTAAGTCTTTGTCATGTGGAAGCTGCCTCTTTCTGTTTGTAACAGAATAGACAGTTGGGTGCACGTGGAATTGTACAGGGTGCAGGCTTGCACTTTGCTTGGGTTTATTTCCTGTGGGGTGATTTGGGTTTGGGAATTTTTTTTTTGTGTGTCTTAGAAAAAACTTGCAGAGGTAGTGTTTTTTTGGTAGTATCCTAATTCTGACTAGAACTTTTGATTTGAAATTAACCCATTAAGAATGCAAATTAAAGGATCATAGGACAGTAATAAAAGTTCTGGTTTGGAAGTTCAGGAAACTTGAAAACATACTATAAACCCTTCTGTCTGGGTTCCTGCAAGTGTGTGTGGACAGATGTTTAGAGCATAGGGAGTGTTGCTTTGCTTGGAGTCTCACACATCCTGTAGTGGTAACTGCAAAAACACCTCTCAGAAATTGTAAAGATTAGTGGTACTAAGAGGGGTGTATTTGGTGTTTCTGAAGTTGGAGGAAAAAGGAAGTAAAGATGTCTGTGACAAATCTCCTGTGGAAAAACAGCACAACTGAAAGGTTGGCTGTAATTTTCTTTTATTGTTTTGCTGAAGAGTCCCTGTGTATCAGTCACTGGGATTTTAGTCTATCAGTTGATTCTATTGGAAGGAGTAGTAATTCTGATCTGTCTCTGAGAGTGTATTTGTGGATGCTCTTGTTTCTAGAGAATTGGAACTTCCACAAAGTGTGGAAGCAAGTTTCAGGACTGTTTTGTAGTGGAGTAAATGTTTACAAAAATTACTTCACTTCCTGAAAAATGCAGCCTGCAATAACTTTACAATTGAACGAAGGATGCCAGAATTGCAGAAGTGTATGAATTGGCATCTGCTGAGCTAATGAATGCAGTCTGTAAAATAAGGTAAAATTAGTGTAAAATAAGGTAAAATTACTCTAGGTGGATTACAAAAAGTTTTGCCTCTTGGCGTGTATTTAAATGCTACTGTTGTTTAGGTCAGCAGGCTTTAAACATGATTCATGATTATGAATCAGGAGGCTGAAAAAACTGTCCTTACAGTTCCTTAATTTTGATTTACATGAGAATCATTACAGTAAAGTAATAGAATGAGTGTTCAGGCTGAAAAAAGCAGCCACAAGTTTATTCAAAGCCTTGGAAGCATATTGCTAGGTGATGTTTGTTAGGTACTGAGACGTTGAAATTTTCTCATTTCTATTGCAACAACAAAGCTGTGTAATTCCAATTCCTTGCAGGTCAAGCTGTTCCTGCCCCTGCTGGGGCTCCTCCGGGCGGGCAGCCAGATTACAGCGCGGCGTGGGCCGAGTACTACCGGCAGCAGGCAGCGTACTACGCTCAGACGAGTCCACAGGGAATGCCACAGCACCCTCCAGCACCACAGGTACAGTCCTAAAGTGGTTTTTTTGGCTGGCTTCTGTCTCAGTGGTTGTAGATATATTTTTTTGCATGTCTCCTGCTTTGTTCCTTTGGGGTATGCATCTTTTTTTCTAGCAAAGTAGCTATCAGAATAATGAGTAGATGACTTTGTTTACCTGGTAACTTGAGTTCTGTATCTATCCATATGTTTGGTGATTGTTTTTTTTATTAAAAAAAAAAGAAGAAAAACTTTCTCCTCCCAGGGTTTTGAAAACCATGCAAGAAGCCACCACCATTTACATTAACCAATTTTTCTTTCTTAAAGGCTTCACTCCTGAGTTAGCTCGATTTAAAGGATTTTCTTTAACTTTTTGTGTATCTCTTATGTATCTCTTCTGCACAGGGCCAATAATAAGAAGTGGACAATACAGTATTTGCTTCATTGTGTGGGGGAAAAAACCTTTGTTAAATGTATGGATGCAGACGCCTTGATGAAGATCTTAAATTTGGTTTAAAAAATAGTGTTTTTGAAAATGTACAAAATATCTATCACTACTGATAGGAGGTAATATTTCTGTGTAGAAATGAAAAAATGGTTTGTTTTTAGTATTAGTGTAGATGTACACATTCCAGCAAATGTATTTGCAATTATGTGGTCAATGCTTTGTGATATAAATGTACTTTTTCAATGTATACTTTATCACTTTTAAAATGCCTGTTTTGTGCTTTACAATAAATAATATGAAACCTCCTGTGTCGGTAAGTTGGATATGTGGGTATATGCAGTATTAATTATAGGATTGATTTGCAACGCTGAATCAAGGTACCGCTACACAAATGAGTTGGGTTTTTTTTCCCCCCATAAACCTTGTTGAGTTTAAAAACTTGTCATTAGCATGTTTTTCCCCTCTTGCAGAATAGCTGTAGATGGAGGATCTCTTTCATTCATTGTATTTTGCTGCCTAGCACCAGTAATCTTGATACCTTAATTTTTTTTCTACTTGATTAAAACTGCATGTGTTTAAGAAGATGATCTTTTGGCATACTTCCATTGCATTAACAGTGAAATTTCCTTTTATACATGACCACTGTTTCAGACCTGTGCAGCTGCTATAACAGATAACTTTTGTTTTTAATTGAATACTTCAAAACTGTTCCTGCATAACTATTATACGGATTTTTTCAGAGTAGTTATAAAACTTACTTTAAGTGTAATGTGCTTAAGCCTTCAGTTTAAAGTAGTCCACTTCAAAATTCAGTGTAGAAAAGTCAATGTGGTAATGCATAGTAGTTACAAAAATCGCGTCTGTCCTTAAAACGCTGTTTTGTTTGAGTGATGGGAGTGGTTGAGAACTTCCTGCAGAGCAGATAACTTCTCTTTTTGTAAATATTCAAGTATTTGAATCAACTGATTATTTTTTTATATATACTTGAAACTTCTTATTGCTCTAATGCTCATACTAAAAAAGCTGATTCTCTTGAAATCCTGTGTTTGCTCTTTGCATATTTATTGGCTCTTTGCATATATTAGACTACATGCACTACAGTCTGTCTTGCCATTGTCTGTTGAAGTGCAGGTTTGATCCAGCCAGTATAGAACTAGCTCTATAGGGGTGAGGAGGACTGTGCTGTGTATCATCCTTGATTGTTCCTTCAAGGAGCATTGCACTGTAAGTACATCAGAATGACAAATTGATGAACTGCAACAGTATCTTTTTGTCAATGTTCCACATAATGCAAATGCTGTACTTGTGTGATATTATGTTGGAATACAGTGCTGGTATCTTAGGAAATCATAATTGCTTCTTAATTCAGAAACATAGGTTTGTTTTTATATATATACATACACATAATCTGAGTTTTGTGGGTAAGTATTTCTGAAACTGCTAGCAATAGCTAAAGAAAATCATGTTTCTGTTTATCTAAGAGTTTCTTTCATTAGTACTCATGAGACAGCTGTCATTCAGTGTTTTAAAGTATGCATATCATAACATTGAAGTCTTTGGAACCACTTGTTAGACAGAGTTGTCTTTGTCTCCAGATAGTTTGTGGATATGTAGTGATGTAGGTATGTTTTACATAATTCTATAACTGTTAATTGCTTTTATTTTTGGAACACCATGTTGTTGCTTTGAGAATAAATTTTTTTAGGGTGGCTGCACAGAGAAGTAAAAGTTAAGGCTTGAAAACTGAAGTAGTTTTTTCAGGTAATGAGCAATGTATGCATTGTGCTGTAGAAATAGAAGGAATTATTTTTATCCTTTTAAAGCTAGGAATTTGCTGGTAGCTTGAAGGCTAGGACAGTATTTGCTATCTTTAGTGTAGGGTATTAAGTTTAGTAGTTCAGGTATTTTGCATGGTATTTTATAGATAACCTTACAGAATGGTGCATTTATTATGTACTAAACTGAGCAAAATTAAATTCACTGGATTCTTTATCATTCACAAAATGGAGGCTGTTGATTTTGATTCATTTAAGGTATAAAATCTTTATTAATTGCAAACAGTGCAATTATTTATACTTCACAGTGCCTTCCCAGACCTTCCACCTTAGGTTCTGCTGCAAAAAAGCAACAGGTAAGCACAACCTAAGGAAGTATATAAATTAATATATTTCAGTACATTAATGTTGTCCCTGTGAGATCTTTGTGGTTGTGTATTGAAAAGCAATCTGCTGCTTCCCCAAATGCATTGTTACTCACGGTTCCATTTGAGTGGAAAATCTTAAGTTTTTAAACAACTGTTTATATTTCTAGGTCAATATGTATTTTTTTTCTTTTTTCTTTTTTTTTTTTAGAGAAGATTATTAGATTGCAGTAATTGAACTTGATCAGAAGAAGTAATTTTTGTTATTTTACCCAAATAGATAATTGTTGCAATTAAAGAATCAAAACCTTTAAAATGTGCAGGAATTGCTTTGGTTAGAAATGTCAACAGCCTTCACAAATGTTTTTTTTCTATAATAGGGCACTATTCCCACTTAATCCTTAAGATCTAAATGTAAAGAATGACTTCTTGTTGTTATCACTGAACTTGATAACTTGTCTTACAGTTATAGTGTGTTAGTGGAGTTTGCTTATACATACTTGACATGGTAGGAAAAGAGCTTGGAGTTTGAGATGAGTATGATTTAACTGAAAAAGCATGAGCACCAATTAACAGTACAGCAAATAATATTTTATCACTATAGCAGTCAGTGTATGCTGTTGCTTGATATTTTTAACTGAATTGCTGAATATTTTGATAGTATAAAATGTTAAATGTTTTACAGATGGTCTGGTACAGGTTTTTATTCTGAGCTTTTGTTGTTGGTTTTTTTAGCTTAACATAAAGCAGCATCTGTTTGGTTTTTTTGTTCATTATTCTGGTTCTAAAATGTGCTGCTCCTCTTTCAAAAGTCCTGCTTATCTGTACATCAAAGAAAAATATTCAAAAATACTGCCTTCATTTTCACACACAGTGCTGAAGATGCTGCAAGCACCAAATCATAGCTCATAGAATCAGGTCCTGAGATAGTTACTACCAGTAAAGAGGAATCCTTTGAGTGTATGCCATTGGTGAGCCGATGAGCATGGACCGTAGAAGGGCTCCATGTAGAAGGTAAAATTGGCAAAAGCATAACAGATTTGAAATGTATCCCATACATAATGATACAGGGTATAATTTTTGTTTTGATCACTTTTCATTCTTTAAAGTATTCTTTGTTTGACCATTAATGTTCCATAATCTGTTAAAGTTTTTTTAACTGTGATTTAATAATATAAACCATCTATTTTACTTTATATTCTTCTAAACAGTCAAGCTAATTTTTGAACTGAATTAATAGTTGTGCTTCAGTTTCTCAAGCCACTTAGTATTTCATCTGTAGCTTAACATGTAACTTTATTTTTGACGTGAGAAGAGGGTAGGTGTGTGTACCATTTGGATTTTGATACTGTGGATTTAGTGTGGGGGTGAGTCATTTGTTCACTTCCTTTTTCATGGTACTTTTTCCTTCAACTGTTACTATTAAAATACCTTGAACAGTCTTTCAGTTGCTAATTTAGCCTGTGGGAGGAGATAGAGAAGAAAAAGCCAGTGTATTGGGATGTTGCTAGTGTGTGGAAGGTGAGATGTCCTTCTGTGTAGCATTTTGGGTGTATTGGCTTCCAGCTTTCTCACTGCAGGGCTTACAGGCATGCTGGTTTGTGCAGAGCATGTGTTCCTTTTTCAACTCTTGTCTTCAAACTCAGAGTTCCTGGGACAACAGTAGCTTATTGGAGTTACCCCAGTAGCCAAAAAGATAACTGAACTTGCTTAGAAATGTAGGGAACTTATCCAAAAGGTGTCTTGAAATGTTTCCTGCTTACTGCACCCATCACTGCTTAGTGTCCCACAATGAATGTGAAGAGTAAGAAAAGTTTTAAAAGCAAGCATAATGTTCCAAGTAGGAAAAGAATTTTCATATCACTTTCTGCAGCCTGTACTTTATTAGGACATGGAATAAAATACCAGGTGGATGCTCTTTAGTATGGCTTAATTACTACGTCATCTGTTTCACTTGTCAGGCAGACAGGGTCACGATTCACTTGCACAGCCTATCTTGAAGTATTTCATCTTTATACTAGTGATATTTTATTGGATGGTAGAAACTGTTTCTCCCCATTTCTTTTCCAAAGTAATTCTTAAGTTTTCCATTGCATGCTAAAAGCTTTTCCATTTTGCTTTTTTTCCGGAAGTGGTGGGAGGAAGGGAGGACTGGGCTTTTCAGAAAGCATACAGTTGACAGGATTCCCTCTTCCCTAGTAATAGCTTATGAAACTCTTGTGTATGCACAAATATTTCTCTTGCGTGCATGTGAAATGCCTTTTCGTCCTGAGAAAAGTGTTCTCTGCAGAAACTACCCGTGTGTAAACAGAAGATTGGCTTTAAAAGGCAACTGTGATGGGAACAGTGTCTTAGGGAGATGCAGCTTGGACTTGAGGTAAATTGAATGCTTTACAAAAATGTGGTTTTGAGCTTGCATTGACATTGTATGTAATATGGGTACACATTAACTGTATAATGGTTTTTGTATGGTTTTTCTCAATAAATGTAAACTGATGAATAATAATAGCAATGGTTTTGTCTTTTTTTATGCTCCTATCCCTGCCTTTGTTACTTTGAAGTAACAGCTTCAGAGCAAAATTTTTGTAGCGGCCTGTACTTCTGTGAACATAATCCACAAAAAATGAAGTAAAATATTTGTGGTTATTAGAGTAAATACTAATTCAAGACACTATGCACCTCGTTACCCTTTTTTAATGAGGCCAAAGAGTGACTTGCAGCAGGTAACTGTACAAAGAAGGCAGATTCAGCCACAGTACTATACACGAGTACTTTAAAATGTGACCTTTTTTTGTAAAGTTACTCCTCCCAAAGCTTCATCTTTGGTTCAGATAGGTGTTAGCAGAGCAACATGAATGTTGATATCTGGAGGTCTTAGAGAAAAGTAGTACAGTAACCTTAAGTACTGTACAGTAGTACAGTAACCTTAAGAAAACAATGTTTATAGATGTGGCAATAAACTTACTGCATTGAGATTGAGAAAATAGGCGCTTCATGAAATATTCTTCTTAAGGCTTTTTTTCACCAGCTTCAAATATGAGCCAATCATAGATGTCACCACCTGTTTCAGTGTCATTTTACAAGCAAGTGTTGATACTTTGAAGATTACTACAAACCTAAAGGAGATTTTTATTTGAGATTATCAGCTGCATAGGTTAATTAGAGCAGAACATTTTCAATGCAAGCCCATTTTAAAACAAGTTATGCTGCTTGAAACAATGGTGAGCAGTCACGTCATCTTTTATTCTTTAAAAATAGTACACTTGGGTTCTTGAAAATCATCAGTAAGTATTTCCTTTGCCAGTTCAGTGCCTCTGGGATAAGGTAGAACAGCTTAAATATTCAGTGCTCATGCAGGATGCTCCAACAGAGTTACGCTACTACACAAGTTCCACATCGTGTATTCAGCTTTATTCTGTTACACAAGAGTTGGTCTTCAAATGCTGGAGCACTATGATAATACAGCTTTTTCCTTCAGTTGATCTTTCATACATTGATTTTTTTATTTTTAGCCTTTGATAGTAGTTTTTGCATTGAGTAGGGAATTCTCACAATTTGAAGGGTGTATTTTCATCTGATGCAGGAATGACAAGTTAATGCACATCCTTGCTTTCTTTAGTTGGCCCCATCAGAGAAAGGAGAGATGATGCAGTAAGAAAGTTGAGGGGGAAGAAAGATTCCAGCTAAAGTAGAGCATTAGTAGTCATCAGCTAGAAAACAGAAAAAGAGTTAAGAGAGACAGGAAGTTAGATTTTCATAACAGGAAAGATGCAAGAAGACTATCTGAGACAAGCATATTAAAATGCTAGCTCTTACTTTCAATGGTGAGAATACAGGTGCTAGCAGCTGAGCCTCTGTTGTTGACTGCTTTACACATATATTCCCCTTCATCTTCTGGGAAGGTTTCTGGCAGATAAAGGCAGTAGGTTTCTCCTCTTTCAATATATTGATAGTCCTCAGAGTCCTGCAACATTTCCCCTTCAAACCACCATGTAACTTCAGGTTTTGGTTCTCCAGTAATTTTAACTGTAAATCTCACTGGCTCGCCGTCAACAACTGATGTGTTTTTCAGTGACTTCTTGAACCAGGGAGCTCCAGATCGAGCTTGATCCTCATCTTCACAAGTAGAACCATTAATAATGCTTCCATCTTCTTCTTCTTCCTCTTCCCTTTTCTGTTTCAAAATAAGTCGATTTAAAACATTTAAAGTGACAATAGTACTATGACTGATATTGACACGTGTTTGATTACGCGGTACTGTGTTTCTGAGAAGAGGAAATTCCACATCTGTCCTCAATACATAGCAATGCACCCAAGCTGGGTATGCCACAGGCAGTAAAGTGCAATTTAATGAGGCTGGAATGTTGGTGTGAAATACAGGCATGAATGTCAATTCCATTTTCAGACTGTTCATGGGATGATACATACTCTGATAGATGTCAGCAGTGTCTCACACTCTTCTGCAAGTGTTGAGGTTGGATGGAGCTTTGAGCAGCCTGATTTAATGGGAGGTGTCCCTGCCTACCTCAGGGGAGTCAGAACTAGATGCTTTTAAGGTCCCTTCAACCCAAACCATTCTTTGATTCCATGGAGAGTATGTGCAAACACCAAAAGCAATTTTATATTATTTCAGCAATTCCTAGCACCTGCTAAAAGAAGCAAAACATTCATTTTGTATCTGGTAGTGTTGCCTACAGTGATAATTAGAAGCTAACTTAAATGACACAACTGGAGACAATTATTTTGCAGTTTATACCTTCTGTAATGCTGCATCGATTTCTTTTTGTTCAAACTGCATACGTAGTAATTTCTGTTCCTCAATCCTCCTCTGCTCCTCTTCTTCTCTGGCTCTTGCCATTTGCTCAAAACGAGCCTTCATGTTTACTTTGTGAGTAAACGGAGCCTCAGATTTCTTGGCTGGTCTCACATCTACGTCATCATCCTTGGGAAATAATAATTAAAAACAGGGCTTAACTATTATTTATTGCCTTAGACATATATGTGATAGCAAAACTAGTTTTGTGTTCCCAGAGGTTTTTTTAACTGAGCAGAGCCACATAGAGACCTGGTTTTTTTTCACAAGTTTGTCTGAGTGTAGGGTGAGTTTTGTAATAGTTCGTTCAAGGACAGGACAAGATTTTTGCAAAAGTAATTTAAAAAATTATATGTAAAAAAATATTCCTAAAGTTTTATTCATATAGAAGTAGAGCACTTCTTAGCAATTGTAAATCCTCAGTGACTGGAGTATTTTGCCGTGATGTTAGTGTGGGTTTAACACTAAAACAGTTGGCCTTATGAAAACAATGAGTGTCAGTCATTAAATTAAAAGCTCACAAATAGGACAGGCTTTGGGCTGATGCTGAAGTGACTCCTGTGGAGAAGATCCAGAATAAGGCTCAGGTCAGGCTTAGTACTGTTTTACATTTCATCACCAAAGTTCACACTGAGCTTATGGATTACAGACCACTTTGTCACTGATAGCTCCGTTTCTTGCGGCTTCCCCTCTGAAAAACTGAAGGTTCTGGTCTGAAGTACTGACAAATAGGAACTCTCTTCTGCTGTGTACCCTGAGGAGTGAGTGTACATCACAGAGACTTGATATTCAAATGGTATTGTTTGGATTTAGTAATTGAATTTTTTTATTCAATTCATGTATGAATGAATTAAGCGTGCAGAAGGAGAAGCAGTTCAAGTGATGATTAATAGGTAATTCTCAGCTATGGGTGTTTTAAGCCCTCAGACTGGCAGGTTTCAGGTTAAAATGCTGAATTGTAGGGCTTTGAGCAGAAAAGCAGACCTCTGCTTGACCGAATCACTGATAATAAGCTGGTGCTGTTTCTTTAAGGGATGCTGAGGTGTGATATCCTTGAGCATCCAAAGGAGGAAACAGGAAAGAGGGGAAAACATAATTTTGGAAACAGCAAAATTTGATGAAAGCATTGTCCACTCCTAGATCGTTAGTGTGCTGGTTAAGTAGATCATTAACATACACAGAATGCAACTTACCTCTTGAAATTTTTCAGCTTCCCTTTCTCTTATTTCTTCATCCATTGCTCTTCTCTTTGCTCGCTCTTCTTCAATCTTCTTCTGTATTTCTTCTTGAGACAGTTGTCCTATTTTTTCAAACTTGCTTTTTAAGTTCTTGGCCTGAATAGAACCGCTTCTTTTTAGCTTTATCAATTCTTCATATTCTTTGCTTAACTCGAAAGTCTCAGACTCTTCTTCCAGCTGTTCAAAAATTACAGAATGTGTAAGATGGAAAATGCCTTCATTATTTTTACTACCTATTCTCCCCCCAGATGATATAATTCAATACATTACAGTTCTGTTAGTTAATTGAAATCAGTACAGAGACCTCTCCCCTGTCATTTTTTTTCTTTGCTATCTCATGATGAATGCATTTGTATCATATCTCAACTACATACAGATTTTACAATATCTTGTTTGAATATGCCATTCGTTCAAGGGTTGTTGTCAATAAACTGCCCTTCTTGGAAGGGCAGAAAGAAGAAAATCAATACAAAAAACTTAACTGGAGTCCAAAATGCACCTCTTACTTGCTTGCAGTATAATATGAAGTAATCTCTAAAATACAGCTCTTTTGTTAAAATACTGCCTTTTTTGTCTTTTCCTAATTCAGTGAAAAAGTAAATGACATTTCAAGATGTCATGGCTGGAAAAGAAAGGGCAGTTGTGGATCCTGTAGTCAAACCACATGGGAAGCTGTAATTGCTGATATTTTTCTCCCTCCTTTTATGAACACTGATTGTAAAGATGTACATGCATTTTAGCTGGACGTCCCTGTCTCTCCCTGCTTCCCCAGGATTAGTTGAGAACATCACAAGCTAGAGCCTTTATTACCTGCTTGTGCTTTGCAACAAAAATAATAAAATAATAATTTAATGTTGTTCTCTAACATTCAAAAGGGAATTACAAAGGATTGCCACCCACGGCCACACTGAAGTAAAAAGTTCATCAATGTGATGTTTTAAAAATTTGGGATGTAAAGCAGATTTTCTGTGTGATTTTTAAAATCAACTGTGCCAGTCTTTATACCCTTGAAACACCAATTAGAAAAAATTTGAGCCCACTGTATTTTTCTCATTAGATAGCACAGTATTCCTCTAAGGAAAAGCAAGAATGTTGCCCTTTCTTACTTCTGTTTTTGTATTGTCTTTTGGGAACTAGATATTTCTGTTCTCCCAAGATTTTCAGAAATTACTGCAAAACCAAATTACAAATTTGTAACTGTACTTACTTCTAAGGTGGGAGTGGATAAACACATTTTCCTGATAGATTAATGATAAAAAATGTCGTTATACAAAATGTTTTACAAATAAGGTTTTCTATTTTCCTTTCCTTTCACATAATGTTGAATGTATTAACTTGAAACTTCTTTCAAAGGAATTTTCTTTACAGTCTTAAACTTTTAGTAATGAAGTGATACATTTTATTCAGAGCATGCTTAACATACAGTTTGATGTACAAACCTCTCCCATTTCTTGT